TAGTTTGATTAGAAAATATTGATTGTCCATGTATTTAATAATTTAGATACGTAAAATACTTAATATTAGAGCGTGATATAAGTAAGTCACTCGACTATTTTGCGTATATCTCATAGATGAGGAGAGGGGAGTCGAATCTATTATCTAGTGCCTATTTGATGATATGGTTGGGCTCTTCAGCTCATTGAGATTTTCTAGCACCGTTCTTGTAGTTGTTCATTAGAAATGTTCGCAGGCTAGACGTTTTCTAGGATCTGTCTAAGGGTGCGTACAGACTATGTAACATGTTATATAACTTGTGTTTTATAACACGTCCACAGTATGTAACCTTGTTATTCAACATTATAACATAAAACAATACTGTACACATTAGAATAACAATGCAATATAACAATGTTATATAACCGTTGTCGTTTGTCGTTCCCCAGTAGGGACGTGACATTCTGCATAAAAAATAGATTTTTTATTAATCGATTTATAAATATGGCAACCAAGAGGCCATAAAAGAAACAGAGGTAGGCAATTTAAAAGGTGGGCCGATGAAATCATGGAAATGGCAGGAAAGACCTGGACGAGATTGGTATACAATAAGGAAAAATGGAGGACAATGGGGGAGGCCTTTGCCCGTAGGCACACAGAATCAGTTATCGTAGATTAAGAAAAATAACAGTTATAATGTATATATTTAGTATTTCTGATATAAGGCTGTAAATAAATAATAAATAATCGATTTTTCTTTAAAAAATAATCGATTTTTTTATTAATCGATTTTTTCCTAATTTTTGAATTAATTTCAAAATAATCACCCTAAATATCTTATTTTTCATGGTTTTTTTTACTGAAAAATAAACAATAGAAATTATAAACCCAATTAACGTTTAAGAATAATCAAAATCGAAATTAACTTAATCTCGTTTTGATAGATTTTAGGTGAAATTTGATAAATGCTTAGTTATGCCTTTTCAGTAGCAAATTGCAGTATTTTTGTTGTCTTTTTAATTGTATGTTATCACGTGCTGCTGAATAAATATATTTTACTTTTAAATTATAGTGTTCCATTCAAACTTGAGTCTTTGTACCTTAAATTAACTGGTTTTATCATCCTTTCGATGTTTTACAAAAAAACATCAATGCATCGAGTATATCAATACATCTTCAAAGAATCGTATTCAATGTATCGCATTCTAAACATCGATGTATATCAAATATCCGTAATAGTTCGAGGTCCGGGTTATGAAAGACTAATCGATGAAAATCGATTTTAATAGATTTTTTTTAATAATCGATTATTTTTTCACATCCCTATTCTCCAGTGCTATCCACAATGTCGACACGAGAGGACGTTTTGCTGGCTGCGGCAGCGACTGTTGTAATTTTAAATAACAAAAGAAAAACAAAAAAACCTAGATGCTGGGTTCATATCAATAACATAACAATATAACATTGTGGTACATATCAATAACATGTTATTATAACATGTTTTATAACATTCAGTGTCCTCATTATCTGAAATATGTTGTATAACAATGTTGTATAACATGTTATGTTATATAGTCTGTACGCACCGTTAGGCACCTGTTGACAAAAAGTTGCGATTCGTTGCGAGGTGGCTTTTGTGGCTTTCCACGATTCGCATCCATATACACTCTTCACATTGGAACGAAATATTTTAATTTTTAAATCACTAAAGGTGCGCTTACACGGGCAACTAAAATTGCTCAATTCCAGTCAATACTCGTCAATTATGACGTCACGACTACATCAAGCAATTTACGGCAACGGCAACAAGCATCAATACTGCGCAATACAATATTGAGCGATATGGCGCAACTTCATCAACTAGGCAATACTGTCATACACGGGCATTTCAGTTTTCACTCGCTATGGACGACATTGTTCTTGCTGCGGCGGCTTGTAGCGCTTTTTTTATTATTAATCAAAAAACAAAAAAGAAAGAAAAGGAATAGGCGTATCTGGGTGCGATCGTTTTTGGCAAAGAGGCCGCAATTTTCATTGTGTAAGTAATTAGATGACATATTATTCAAAAACTTTACTAGAATGTCACGAACAGACTTTGAATTACTTTTGAATAAAGTAATTAGAAATTTTTATTATTTAGACCTCTCGCTCTCCTCGCGGAAGCAAGACGGCAAGCCGCAAAACAAACAAGTGCGAATGAGATATATACAAAAATTCCTAGGAATTTCCAAGTCCATTGGGTATTCGTCAATTCATATCTGCAACATTGAGCGATATGAAATATCTGGAGCAATTAGAAGCAATATCGCCGAAATAATTTATTGAAATTTATTGAAATTGCTCCATTAATTGCTCCAGATCGGTCCATTCGTGTCGCCGAGCAATTATTGCCCTCGTGTAAGCGCACCTTTACGCTAAAAATGTTGTATCCGTTTAATTTGTATATAGTGAGATACACATAAAAGCTTTAAAAAAGGATAAACTTAAGTGTAGTATACTATCTTAATCTAAGTTTTGAATAAAAACTGTATGGTATACTTTTGTAAAAAGTACTTTATGTCTATGTAAAATATCTTAAAAACTTGTTGATAATTTAATAATATAATATATAATTAATATAAATATGCCAAACATTATTTAGTATTATATAATCATAACTTAGTAATTATAAATATAATAAAATAAAAATGTGTTTATTCATTATAAGTGCATATGCATTACAATGAGTAAGACTTACTTAGGTGTATACCTATAGTATTCCGTAAAAAATTAATTAAATTTTACTTAATAAATATAAATAAATACTTTATATATTTTATGAATATTGAATTTAATTTTTTAATTCTTGAATAACTTAACAAATGATGATGCATAAAATGATTTAATGTATTACATATGACTTTAGACTGGCCAACAAATAATTAAACATTACTTCTTTTCTGGACACTGCTTATTCCTATAATTAAAAATAACAAATTAATAAAGTAATCTAAGCACATTTTTTTACTACGATATTTATTTTAATAGAATTTCTATTCAGTTTTTATACAGTACTAACTAGTGTTAGTACTGTTGAGATTATCTATCCTTGTATGTTGTAATTCCTCTAATAAATTATTTATTTGTGGAAACATTGGTAATTGGTAGTGACCTTTAGTTACAGTTTTAAAAATTTAAGTTCCATTCTGTTTAGTTTAAATCCTTAGACTTCACTGAGATAATCCGTTTTATCTGACTCTGTTAGTCTTTTTGTAAAGCTAGGAAATTGTAACAATATATCCAGATGATATTGTTAGGTATGCCTTGTTTCATGCTGCAACATTAATTAATATTTTTAAGTTGTCAGTCCCCCATCAACACTACGGCTTGTCAGTTGTCGGGTTATGGTAAATGTAAATCTCTTAATTGGAAGTTATAAACAAAACACGTAACCTAATATGTACTATGTAATATTAATAAAGGAATTTTGAGTGAATTGCTTATCTTTAAGTGGCCCGTTTGCCAGGTGGGTAGTGACTAGTGCGGTATATAATTTGTCACAAGAGAATCAGAATATAACATCTTCACAATACTCTATAACTCTTGGACTCAATTGCCTCTGTCCATCTATGTGTAAGGTATACAAGAAGGTCACCAGCTGAGCTACCACGACAAAAGCCGTACTGATAATCGCTAATCAGCTGGTGGCCCTGTAGATACCTTAAGAGCTGGCCATTAAAAATGGGTTCCATTATTTTGGAGAACAAGACCTTAATATAGCTATTGGGCGATAGTTGGATCAGAGCGATCGCCTTTTTTAGGGATCGGATGTATTGAAGCGTTCTTCCAGCTCTTCGGGACAGTGCTGAGCGAGTACAGGTGCCGGAAAAGGCGCGTTAGGACCGAAGCCAACTCATTCTGATCCCTCACTCTAATTCCCACTTTAATTTATATGTTATTGCTTCGCCGAGAATCAAACCTAGGACGTTTTCGTTGTTACAAAAATATTCTTGCTATATTTTTAATTTATAATTCGTACAAATATTTTTGCGCAAACAGTCATATGCCATTATTATAAAAATTACGATTAACTAGAACTAGACAAAGATAAATATGACATTAAAACCCATTTATATAACATACTTCAACATATTAATAATACTTTAACAGTACACTAATAAACCCAATAATATACAGTCTACTCCAAGCTCCTCATATTGCAATAAAGCCATCTATATAAACGTAAAGAAAACATATAACTGTTAGCAGTTGTGCACGTAGTTAGTGTGAATACATTCTCACAGATGTCACTTTGTTCAAAAGTCACATTAAATTGAGACAGTTTACGTAGTCTTGGGTTCCGATACGAGCATTTTCGAACCCTGCCATCTAGGTGAAATAAGTAGAACTTATGTTTAAAGTAAAACCTATATCAAACTTGATCATGATCAAACTTCAAAATAAGGTTGTAGATGGAACTAAAGTAGATTTTTATTTAGTGTTATTATATATATTCATTATACGTATATATTATTTAAACGTTACGTTAACAATTATAATGCTGATGGTATTAAATTATTTTTATATTGTTTTCAGAATGAGGTGATGTATCATACAAATACGATATAAATTGATAAAATGTAATTTATATACAATTTTTATGTGCTCTCAATAATTTAAGGGAAATTCCATAAGCCATATTTACTTTGGTGTTGTGTTAATACACTCTGTAGCCAAGTAAAACACTGAATTCGGAACGTAGAAATTAAATAATTACTAAAGTGAAATTGAATACATATTTTAAAGGCATAAGAGTGAAGTTCAATGGCATTTACTCTCGCTACTGAACATGGTATGCGCTTTTACCTCTTATTGTAACCATATAAGATTCATAATTCCCTACATATGGGAACTGCCGCTCTAAAATGGTTTCTATAATGTATCAAAGAGGCTGCAGACTCTACACCGGTACTTTGACCTAGTGAAGTCGCAACTCGCAACATAAGTCAGTTCCCATCGAAATACAGACCAGTTCGAACGCAATGATATTCGAAAGCTTTATTTTAAACTTGTTCATACTTTTAGCGCTAATAATAGCACTAATATTTGATTATGTGACCAAATTCTTTAGTTATTGGTACATACGCCATGTGCCGTACAAATCTGCAATACCACTTTTCGGAAGCGACTATCATCGAGTCCTTGGCTTGAGAAATACAAGTAACGAAGTACAACAACTATACAACCAATATCCCGAAGACAAATTTGTGGGCTGTATCAAAAGCAGGATCCCAGATTTGATCGTAAAGGATCCAGATGCAGTAAGGAAAATTCTATCAACGGATTTCTCGAATTTCCATTGCCGAGGCCTCGGGCTGGACAAATCCAGGGATGTTTGTTTACGAAACAATTTGTTTTATTCGGAAGGTGAAAAGTGGACTCTGTTGCGAAAGGAATTGGAAACATTGTTGAAGAACATGAATAGCGAGATCCAAGACAACTTACATGTCTGTTTGTCCGGAATCAATGGAGATACGAACGTTCAACAGTTATTGTCGGAGTTATTGGATATTGTTTTTAAAGATTTACTCATCGGCAATAATATTGAAGGATCTATTATAACATGTTTGCGAAAACAGGCTGGACAGCGCTCATTTCAAGATAAAATAAAGTGGTATTTGAAGAATATCTTCCCATCGGTACATGTAATTTTGGGTATAAATACGGCCATTTCGCAACTATATCATAAGTATATAAGCGTCATGTGTGATACTAAGCTTTACAAAGATATTAAAAAAAGGGAAATGGTCTCTGGGGAGAAAATAAACACGAAATCAAAGAAAAAGGATACCGACGATAATTGTACATTCTCTGTACTGAGTTTGTTTATGACAGAGGGGTATTTACCTTGCCATAATGTTTTAACCTCACTGTTATATGAACTAGCTAAAAATGTTGAGGTACAAGAGAGAGTGAGGAGTAATAATAAACAGTTAGAATTAGCCATTAAAGAAACATTAAGGCTTCATCCACCATACTCTGTGATTTCACGTAAATGTATTAAAATGTACACATTCGCTGAGGACGAGTTTCTCGTAGACAGGGGGGTGACTATTACAATACCACTTGAAGCAATTCATAGAGACGAGAAAAACTTTAGTGATGCCTTGTCTTTCAAGCCAGAAAGGTTTGAAAACAAAGACGATGTTGGAGCATTTATGCCGTTTGGGCAGGGACCGCGGAATTGTGTTGGTAAGTGAAGTAAACTTAGGTAATCAGTAAACATCAGTCTATAATGAAATACGAAAAAATATATGAATTACAATAGACAATTGAGTTAGCAACATTACTCAAATGGGGGACACCGATTTCACACAGCCGAGTAAACTCAGATAATGGATCGATAAAAGAAAACGCCTTTTTAATGCATTCTGTTCTAATAACAGAAGGTAGTAAACATATTAAAATTATATTTGTCTTAACTTTTCAGGTGCAGATTTGGCGATCAAAATTATTACTGATGTGTCCAGTGTGATTGTTAATAATTTTCATATTGATACCTGTAACATGACACCAACTGAACTTCGCTTGGTTGATAAAGATTTTGGCCGAACCATAGACAACGATGTTTGGTTGAAACTAAGACCTATTAATAGAATGTAGATTAAACTTTTGAATCTAATATGTATTTTCGATAATTAAAAGTGTGTCATCTAACCACATGCCACGGGACTTAACTAAGGTACTAAAGGTCATGGTCGGGTATGAAAACTTCTCAAAATATATATTTTTGTTATGAATCAACTGAAACTCAGTTAAGAATAAATATGAAATATTAATAGTGTTTAACTTTTCCCAATGTAATCATAAGTACCTAATAATATTTAATTATCAATTAGCAGGTAATTATATTTTGCAAATAAATGTATAAATTGGTTTTAACGGTGTAATAACTAATTAGTACAGTTTTGCGGTATCACAATGAAATATATTTTGTATTTTGATATTCAAATAAATTACTAAAGCAAAGGTAAAACAGAGTAAAGCCGCCTCTTTTACACCAAATTCTATGCATACAAAATCGCGTGACTAATATTTACATACTTTTACTATTTTCCTTACTCCAATAGTATAATATCAGTGTACAATATTATAACAAATGACATATTGTACCATACCATTACAAAAGCCTACAAAAACTAGTATTTACCGTTGGATAGGTTAAACCACAGTTATTAAACGCCGGATTTTGGTTACAGATATGAATATACATAGTACCCTGATTTTTGCGCTAAAAATAATCTTAAATCTAAATTAGAATGTAAAAAGCATATATAAAAATGTTTTTTTTATAATCATTTAAATTTACACGAATTGTTTATTGTTGGCATTTCTGAACCTTTGCAGAATATGCTCGTAGGAATACACTCAAATCTACTATTTGAAATCAGAATAAGAAAAATAAGTGAAAATCGCATGAAAATGACTGTAGGCCCTTTACTAATTTTATTAAGTTTCGGTAGATTGGATTACCTTAGTGAAAAACCATAATTTCTTCACATTTTTATTTCTCAAAGACAATGTGGCTGCAGAGTATAGGTATTTACAGAACAAAGAAAAATTGGCATTTGCTATATTCGAGAATTTAATCAAACGTTTTATGTTCAGCGCTGTTTTACGACTCGTTGTAAAGGTATGTAGATGAATGAATGACAAAGTACGCCAATGGTAACGTTGTGGCAAATTGTTGCCCACACGGCATAAAATAATTTTAAAGAATTAAAATTTGACTGCTTGAGACTTAACTTTCCTTGCCAAACAATTATAGTATTAATTGCGTGTACGGAGTACCGTACAGTAACGTAATAGTATTTAGGCAGCTTAAGCTGGCTTTATGAGTTGGTATGGTATTAAAATTGATTTGTAAGTTTTCTGTTTCCGAAATAGTTAACTTGTTTGCATAATAAATGAAACGGTTCATTCACCGTTACGTTCACGTTATGGTCAAGGTTATGATTTCGCAACTAATACCGATTGGTTTTCGAAGTGGCATTGCTAATAATAACGTATCGCAGAGAAATATGGTTTTATATGTAAGTTATGGGGATTACAGTAAAGACGCGGATTTTCAAAATAGTTTTATAATAAAACAACAGTAAAAATTATACATAGCAAAGTACCTAATCAACTTGAGAAACACATGTCTTATGATTAACATCTTTAACTAAAGTGACGACGCTTAATAAGAACTACCTACTATCTTTAACTGGCAACATTCAATTAAGTAAGAACAATTATTATCTATTGGTGTAATCTTTAGTAAAGTAAGATGATTAATGTTTTCCATGGTGGAAGCCCCAGTGCTTATGGTCTTCGTGGCCACCCTTCTTACCATGGTCATGATGATGATGATGATGCTCCTCATGACCGTGATGGCCCTTATGACCATGATGATCCTCATCATAATGATGCTTATCATGGTGACCTTTTTTCCCATAGTGTTCTTCGTGATGACCGTGCTTATGGTGACCACCCTTTTTGTGCTCACCGCCATGCTTTTCATGATGACCATGATGTTTCCCATGCTTATGGTGCTTGCCTTCGTCGTGATGATCGTCATAGAAATGATGGTCCTTGTGGGATGTATCTTTGTGGTATTTCTTGTGGTATCCATCAGTTTTATCTCCCTTATCATGATGTTCATGGTGACCGTGTTTAGCGCCTTTGTGATGATGCCCATGTTTGTGATGATGGCCGTGATGATCATGTTTATCCCAATGCTTTTTATGTCCACCACCATGTTCATGGTGATGTCCAGCATGGTGATGTTTGCCATGATCACCATGCTCTCCCTTGTGGTGATGATGATCCCCTTTGTGCCCTTTGTGTCCCTTTTCCCCGTGTTCATGGTGGTGATGGGCATGGTGCTCCTTGCCACCTCCTTCTTCATGATGATGTCCCTTGCCACTGGCAGCTGCTACAAGATCCTTCGAATCATCATCTAGCTCTCTGGCGTACACCGCGACGAGGCTGATGAAACCGATAGCTACAACCCACTTCATGGTCGTAGCTTTATGAAGTACGATTTGATCGCTGAAAACTAGTCTTTTATATTGATTGTGTCGATTGTGTCGATGTACAAATGGTTTGTCAATTTAATTGACAATGCCAGGCACATTTTTCAATGTTAGAGGTAAAACAGTGGACTAATTTTACTACTATGGGCTACTACTACATGCAAAAGGTATTATTTCATGTTAAGTGTATTTTAAAATACAAACAGGAAATATCAAAATAATTGCAATAATTACTTTGATGGAATATACACAGATCATGTTATTAGACTATGGCACCTAAAGAGAATTTCATTATATTATTACTTAAAAAACAGGTATTAGAAGCAAATATTTTTTTTACTTTTAGGTTTAAGACGTATGTCGGAGACCAGCCAATGTAGTAACGCCTCAGCGATTCCTTTGTTGGTCCCGGTTGGTCCGGGAACGAGAATGAGAGCGACCCATAAGGGCCCTTAAAAATGACTGAAGCGGACTTACAAAATTTTTCGTTGTCTCTACCTTCACAAAATCATATAGAGGTCCAAACTTTTCTTGATTGGACCCCTATAATGTTTAGTACGCATGAAATTTTTATATTTACTAGATTTCTTTCTTTAGTGTATATACATATTATGTAATGTTTTATTGTGTAAAAAATACTTAGTGCTTTAATACTCTTTTCTCATCGTCCTCAATCGGTGGGTAAACGGTTCAAAAGTTAAACTTTTAAAGAGTTATAGCATCATTTATAAATGTTTGTAATATATTATAATAAATAACAGATACTATTATTTAATTAATTTGCAAAAGACGCAAGCAAGGCTTCCATTATTCCTGTTTTATAAATGTTATAAAAAGTTATTATTGTTTGCGAAATCTAAATACATTGATGTAATTGATGATATTATATGTATAAAACGATATAGTCCCTATTTACGACTTATATAAAAAATCTAGCTGAACCGAAATGTTTTAAGTAATTAATTCAAAAAAGGATTGTGTATGAACCATGTCATCGATGTATATTAGGTTTGGAAAGCGGTGATAGCATAATGTTAGGCTTCCGCTTCTCATTCTATGATGTTTCAACCTTCACATTGCCCTATACACTCGCAGACTCGTACCAGAGATAAATAACCACGAAGAGGAGCGGGACTCAAACTAATTAAGTCTTTGATCATAATACGTGATTTATTATTTCTATATTATTATTTTTATGTATTGACAATTAATACAATAATACAATTATTTTCAAATTTTCTAAAGAAAAAATCTTTAAGTCCGTAATATTTTTTTGAGTTAGTTTACTCATTGTAAATTGTCCAAAGAAGTTTAAAAAACAAACGACCGGTCGGTGCATAATAAAGACTTCGAATTGTATAGAGTAGGGAAGCCCGTTCAAATTATCGCATGTTGGCCAGCAAGATATTATTCTTTCAACTTTAAATTACCGAAGAGACCAATTAATAATCAATATCTGCTCGCGTGATTGAGAGAAACAAGTAAGGAAACCAGCATGCTATAAAAAATATATTGTACAACAATGTTGGAAAATAGAAGACAAGTCACGTTCAGCAGATTGATCACCAGGTAAGTTAATAAAATACATAAATTTAAGCCTAAAATCCATAACGACACACCTCATATGATATCATCTAATGACATTTTAATATCTTCTTAATACAGGAATTGTAAAATTTGTTTTTTTACAGCTATTTACTCGTGCATTTGTTTTTCAAAAACCATAATTCATTTCATTTTCCCGTTTGAATTTGTTTCTCTGTGTCACTCTATTTATAAAAAGAAAACATGATAAATCCCGTTATTAACGAGTAGGTGTGTGTGGCACCAGTGCTGCAGAAACGGCTCGAAGGATTAATAATATGTATGGTGGCGGTGTCGCAATAGAAAACACAGTGCGTTTTTGGTTTCAATGTTTTCATTCTGGATGTTTTGACCCGCAGAACAAGCCCCGTGGACGGCCGGACACCTTAGTTGATAACGAAGAATTGAAGGCTATTGTGGAAGCGGATCCATCGCAAACTGCGTCTGAGTAAGCTGAAGGCTGCGGTGTTAGTGATAAAACTGTATTAATCCACTTCACGAATTTAGTAAAGAAAATCGACAAACGCGCTTCGATTGCTGCGCTACATTTCTCGACCGGCACAATAATGAAGGGATTTTAAATCGAATGAAAAAAAACCAGTGATGAAAAGTGGATCCTGTACAACGATCGAAAGCGCTCATCGCAATGGCTAAACCCAGCCGAACCAGCCAAATCGTGCCCCAAGCGAAAATTGATTGCGAAAAAGATACTTGTGAGCGTTTGATGTACTAGTGCCGGGGTCGATCACTATTACTTTCTTAAATCTGGCCAAACGATTATGGCAGATGTCTATTGTCAGCAACTGCAAACCATGATGGAAAAGCTAGCTGCTAAACAACCAAGGCTGGTCAATCGCTCTAGGCCACTGCTGCTTCACGACAATGCTAGTCCACACACTGCACAACTGACTGCTACTAAATTAGAGAAGCTTTTATTGGAATGTCTAACACATCCACCATACTCCTAGGACCTTGCTCCAACAGATTACAATGTTTTATGGAATTAGGATAACTTCTTGCAAGGTAAAAAATTCAACTCTGATGGAGCAGTCGAAACCGCATTCAAAGATTTCATTCGGACGGGACCGAATGGTTTTTTTTCAATAAAGGGATCAAGGAACTGGCAAAAGTGCATAGATAGCTTTGATTAATGAAATATTTAAAAATCTACTTTTTGTTCCTCCCATACAAAACGCCAATTTCATATGTAGACCTAATACACTAATTTATTTTATAAAAATTTTATGATTTTTGCTAAAGTACTCATTTATCTCAAGTCTCATGTTTTCAACGTTTAACCTCAACACAATTGAAGAATGACAGAAACTAATAAATAATAATTTAATTATTGTTTTACCAATATATTATATTATTTGTATCAATCATAGATACACATTAACACATTACATCCAATATCCGGCAATCATTACCAAATAAATATATTCTCTTAAAATAAATATTTTAGTTTTAAGGGAATTACGAAATAGTTAAAAAAGAATGAAGTAAATTTAATCATTTATTATAAATCAACAAATTATTTTATAAAAGTATCAAAACCCGTATCAACTAGAACGCCACATGAGACAAAACATCTTCAGGTATTTTTGAAAAATATTTCATAATCAATGAATATTGATTATGATTATCTTGTTTGAACATATTTTGTCATATTGCGTTTACCAACATTTCTTATCATTAATATCACAGAAGCGTTTAATGTTTGCCATGATGGAAGCCCCATTTCTTATGGTCCTCGTGACCACCTTTCTTGCCGTGGTCATGATGATGGTGATGATGCTCTTCGTGTCCATGGTGTCCCTTGTGACCGTGGTGATCTTCATCGTAATGATGCTTGTCATGATGACCATGCTTGCCATGATGGTGTTCATGATGTCCACTTTCATGATGACCTCCCTTTTTGTGGTCTCCTCCATGCTTTTCGTGATGGCCGTGGTGTTTACCATGCTTGTGGTGCTTGCCTTCATGATGGTGGTCATCGTAGAAGTGATGATCCTTATGGTAGCTGTCCTTGTGGTATTTTTTGTGGTAACCATCGGTTTTCTCCCCCTTGTCGTGATGTTTTTTATGGCCGTGTTTTTCGCCTTTATGATGATGTCCATGTTCGTGATGATGACCGTGATGGTCGTGTTCATCCCAGTGTTTTTTGTGACCACCGCCGTGCTCATGATGATGCCCAGCGTGGTGGTGTTTTCCGTGATCACCATGTTCTCCTTTATGGTGGTGATGGTGTCCTTTGTGGCCCTTGTGTCCCTTTTCTCCGTGTTCATGATGGTGATGAGAGTGATGCTCCTTGCCACCTCCTTCTTCATGCTTATGGGATTTTCCGCTGGCGGCTGTTACCAAGTCTTTTTGGTCATCATCTAGTTCCCTGGCGTACACCGCCACAAGACAGAGCAAACCTATTGCTACAATCAACTTCATGTTGACTGCTTGTGGTGTTCGTTGTTTACCGAGATATTTATAGTTCAATCAGTTGTAGATGAAGAAAGCGTTTGGTAATTTTCGTGCAACATTCAGGGACAAATCAAGTGCCCGTTGAACCATGGCACTGCAATGCTTTTCAATTTCATATTCTACATTAATTTCACGAAAATGTTTATTAACTCACTATGAGATATTATTTGTTGTGTTTGTAAAGTTATGTTTGCAATAGGTTCGATTGGTTTATTCATATGGTTCTAACGATGCACACTGCTTTGAAAGTGAAATTAAATAGACGCACTTTTTGTACTTTTATTTAAAAACTGTAAGCATACTACGACGTTGACGATGCAAAGGCAAATACGTAGAAAATCATCCAATATACACAAGCAACATTCGTATTAAAACGTATATATATCTAATATTCAGAACTAAGTTTGACAGCTGAATATTATAATGTAGGGTTTTTTGATTTTCGAAAATTATATTTATCGAATTGGTATTGGCTTAAATAACAAAAAAACATTATGTAATGGGTCCCATATATATATACGAAGCAGTCACAAGGGAAAGCTAGCGCGCAAAAAAATTAATTTATTTTGCCAACTTTATTGTAAAGATAAAAAAGGAAGGTTAAATTGCAAAATTGAATACTGTAACGCTGTATTCGAAACTATATATCAAATATACAAAAGATATTAAATAGTTTTAAGGAATCACGAATTACCAAAGCTAGTCAGCTTTAAATGTTACTATTACTCTGTACTAATATCATATTCCTCCAGTTGTTTATATAATGGTAAAATACTATCGACCAGTTACTTAAAACAACATTAACGCAAACAATTCAATTTTAATATTAATAATTGTAGTTTCGTGGCAATACTTAAATTAAACCGACGCCCCGAAGCTGATGCTCGATGCACTTGTAGTCGTAGTTTTGACATCTGAGAAGTATCAGGTGAGAAAAGACTCAGGTGGAGATTGAAACCCAAAGCTGCTTTTCCGGAACAGAGTTTAACCATGCCTATACAACTAGTAATTGCCAGCATTAATAGTGAAAATCTAATTTAGATTAAACACATAAATCAAAATATTAATCTAATTATATCGATGGCAATCTTAACTTTAAATCCCTGAAAATAATTAGACTAAGCAAATACCGAACGAGAAATCTTCAACAATGTTTAAACAATCAAAACAAATCTCGGTATATTTCAAAGCGTTAACATAGACTGATGTTTCTAGGAACTACAAGTGTGCATTTGGAAAACAAGTACTTCCCATGACTTTAGTGTTAATAATTTCCACGAAAACATATGTATCTGGAAATAAGGATAACCACTGGTAGATAAGAGACAAGAATAAAATAAAGACACTTTCGAAGGTACAAATGGTACCAACTCATTACAATATATTATGTTTTTTACTTTTAAATTGATTAGGGTATACATGACTACAACTTTAATTTAGGCACTTCCTATAGTTTTAGGGATATTGATCTGAAAACAATAAAATATATTTCTTATTACATATATAAATATCATAATCAGACTGTAGCTTTTCTGAAATAGAAGGCAACATCTCAAAAGAAGATAAACCTTTACTAACCGGAGGTAATCGATTCTAGTTCTGAAATGTACGTCACCGCGTCCTAGTTATTGGGTTATAAATTAAGTTTAGACTCACTAAAGGTCTATTTCCATGAATGATATGTTTTAAATTTTGTCTTTAACTATATCGGGTTAAGGGTGCATCAACGTTAAATGTTTATACTTTGCTACTTTTACTTATTTCTATATATATATAAGCCTACTTGAACCTTGGATGATAAAGTTGTGTTGGGTAGGCCTTGTCGAACATACCTGGAGCAAATCCATAACCGACGAGCATGCATGGCGAATGTTACGAAAGTGGTGGAAGGTAGGGTTGTCATAATTATATCTATTTAGTTTAGACACGATCATTTTTTTTTTATATTTCTTGATTTTTATTAGGCCATTCAAACGCTTACAATTTTTTTTCTCCAAAATGCACTAAAAAGTGTTAAATAACAATATTTTTAGTTATTTTGAGTGGCCTCGCATTATTTAAAGAATTAATCATATAACATGTCGATTTATTTATTTATAGCAATTCTAAATCTTCTACACGAATAAAATAAATGGAAATTATGGATTCACTCGGCTGATGAACGGAGTCACAATATACACTTAGGTACAGCAGCGCTACCGAGTCTGAAAGATGACATTCCGTTTATTCTTATCTGAGTGCCCATGCCTATATGAATGCATTAAGTAACACTTCCTAGAAATGCGTTTTCTCTTTTACAAACATCATACAAACCTTCCTATAACTCAACATATAAACGTAGTTAAGCAGTTTTCAGGCTGGATTCGTGAATACATTTTAAACTGTAGTTCTGACCGTTTGTTTGAACGAAACTCTTTTGAGTAATATCTGATACGTGATACAGCCCTGCGATTCTGTAACTCACTTTTCGAACTCACACAGCGGTTTTTGCATCGGCGGTCGCTCTCAAAGCTCGAAAAGTGAGTTACAGCAGGGCAGTTGTTACAGTTAAGTGAAGAATATAGTTTTAGTTCACCAACTAAAAACCATTTATTATTAACTTTTAACCTTTAATATTTTTAACTGAGTCACTGTATTTTTTTTTTATTGCCACAATGTGAATGTAGCAATATACTCGTAAAGTAATGGAATTGCAAAGCAATTCAAAATGGTGTTAATTTGTTAACTAGTTTCAGGTTTACGTTACTTCAAGAAATAAATTACATATGGAGGTGACATAAATTACATGAATTGTAATGTTTAGGAAGACTAAATAGAATATATACCATATTCTTCAGGCTTACCAAAGCACAGCTAGCCACGACCGATAACACTTTAATGTATCCTGAGCTAAAAGTAACGTTATTCTAATAAAACTTTTACAAATTATTAGTTTTACTATCCACAATTTAGAGGGAACATAGGAGACTCATAACTTATCCACGGTAAATTGAGCACAACACTTCGAGGTAACGTAAAATAAAATATAAATAAAAGGAAAGTTAATACAAAAAGTTCGGCTGTATTTTCTTGATAGTCGAACCCCTTTCTTCCACGCCATAAAACTTTTATCGGAGGTGACGTCCCTAAAGCATAGTTTTCGAGGCATTTGGGGATGATAAACTTTTAAACTTCGCGAATGACTGAACTGGATAGGCACGAAATTTTGTTCGGATTTAGACTGCCATTGTACACATACTATGAACAAAGGGCTATCCAACCTATAGACAATATATATTTATTCCTATTATGTATACTTTGCTTTTGATAATCTAGAAAAACGTTTGGCTAAGGCTATTACGGGTAATGTATCGTTTTTCCGATCCAGAACCTCATCAATAGAAGCCTCCATCACCTTCTAAATTCCTTCCTGATTTGTCATAGTTTAGAGTCGTCATTCGTATTAACAATAAAAAGTATGTACATAAGAGAGTGGAACGCTTTCGCCTAGAATAGCAACAAAAACCAAAACAGGTAAGAAGGTTTCAAAAAAACATGATAAACGCGTACCACTCCATAACCATATTACGTCAAAGCCAGACACACTCTGCGGGAAAAATGGCCCATCCGGTACCCAACGCGATTATTTTGATGATTCTAAAAACCCTTCTTCAGATCTGCTTTTGACATATTAAAGTGATACGAGTACTTATCGTGTTATATTTAGAAATACATTCTTATATACTTGCTATTTTTTATTAATGGATGACTAATTTTAAACTGGGATCAATGTGATCCAAATAAGGCCAAAGTAGCTTAATATTATTTTATTTTAATTATGCAGTACTTTTATTTACATAACGTGAATGCAACATGTTAAATCGAAGCATATAAAGTAATATTTGCATAAACATCGTTTCCATTAGAGAGGCATTAAACGTGACAGAGTCCTATTTTTATAAAGCTCAGTAAACTGATAGAACTCTGTAACTACGAGTATAATATTATAAAGGCATAGCGGTGCTTTTATTTTCATTAGCCGAGGTAACCTCATTAAGTGGGCTCGCCCCACAAAGGTTGTTGTGTTTTATTAAAAATTTATTTATACGAAATATTTCCTGTTAATTTTTGTGTTTTATGTTTGTGTGTTCTTATTTGAAATCTATATTTTTAGTTTATGTGTTATGTTGAAACTTGAAATATATATTATTATCAAATTTAAAAATATTTCTTAAACATGATGCATAGCGCATTATGTAAAACATTATATAGTTGTGCGTTAATCAAAATAAAATTTAAATAATTCATGATCAACTATTTTTAACGTTCGTAAAGGTGTATAAGGTGCGTAAGGTGTAGGTGTAAAGTAATCTTAATAAAAATAACACTTACACTTGATAAAACTTAATTATATTACATTATTTTATTACCATTTCCATGTTTCGTAAAATACAGCATGAATATTCGCAAGAATAACATACTCACACGAGTATTAAGTGGAAACTTAACAATTTCTGAATATTTTCCAACGGAAAGTATTGTCGGTGGAAGTTCTTGATGGAATATATTATTATGTAAATAACTTACATGGAGTGTAAGGGAGTTTTAAAACTTCTCTTAAAGCAAATAATCACTGTACCGAACCCGATTTTGACGGGTACTAACATTTTCATCTCATTTCAGGAGTTCCGACGGGGATTGATAGATGATGATACCTAATAATATGGAGAGATACGGTATAGATAAAAAACTTATATTGGCAGTTTGTCTGGAACATATACTTTTTATACATAATGATACTATTAAGACGATGTACACAAGGGAAGTTATGAGATGTAGGTAATACAAGAAAATCTAGACATGAAATTCAGAAGACACTTAAAAGTTTGGGACGCAAAGCTTTCTGTACTGTGTCGTGGAAGTTCTTAAGTGCACAGTAGAGGCTTATATAAAATGTATCACCTGTCTACACAATGCTTCAGTACCAA